ACTACTTTGTTAAAGATACTTTACTCATAATTTCTCCTGGTTGTGTGTAGTCTGTGACCACATGAGACTTAAAAATCAACAAAGTGCAAGAGTAAACACATTATTTGAAAAATTGTTGTCCCCTAAATTTAAACTTGGAGAATAAAATATTTATTATCTATGAACTGATTTTAGCAGACTCCTCATCAGAGCTAGATTTTGAGTCAATATAATAACTTTATGTTACATTTCTAGTTAATTACTGTCAGCCTGCTCATTAAATACCCAAATAAATCCTTTTGTCCGTACACTGAAGTGTAACTATGTTCTTTGTTGTTGTTGTTTTGTTCCATTTAGAAGATATAGACCCCTCAGTCGGGCGCTTTAGAAATATGGTGCAGACGGCTGTCATCCCCATGAAGGTAATTCTTGACTGTATTTAAAATGATTCTCTCAGCTAACAGAGTTTTCTACAAAGCGACTCTTAGTTTGGCTAATACACTGCTAGTCTTCTGAAGTTGTTGTTCTTCCATTCCTCTTGCAGAAGCGGAGATCTGACAGCCAAAATACTCTGGGTCTGGATGACCTGGCTTCCAAGCGCATTCACGGCTACAGCTTGGGTGGGGGTCTGTACGGGGACTTGCCTCCAACCAGCCACGAGAACAAGCCAACAGGAGCTCCAGGAGGCGCTGCTATGCAGGGCGGGCTGCCTCTGCCCTTCCCCAACCCGGCGCCTGAGGTAGACCTGGCCCCAGAGGCTCCTCAGCCCCCGATAACACTCAACCCCACACCAGTGACAGCCCCCTACCTACCAGAAACCATCAACGAGCCACGAAAAAAGAAGTATGCCAAAGAAGCTTGGCCGGGGAAGAAACCCACCCCTTCACTTCTCATCTAACCAGTTTTTTAACGCTGCTGACTCTCAGGTTCCCAGCAGGACCATCAGGGACTGTGACCTGTCAGAGGTGGAGCCCTTCGCCTCTGTTTTTATTTGTTATATTATACGAGTGCAAAATACACAACACATCCTCCACAAACTACATCGACAGCAAAAGTATTTAGTTTTTTTTACAAGAAAATACCTGGCAGTTAAATGAACTACAGAGTGATAGACTATATGGATATAATGATGGAGTTGTGTTGAATGACTTTGAGTTGATGTAAACTTGTATTTTATACATGTTCCAACATTTTTTCACTCTTTCAGAATATTGATAAAACTATTAAAGACTTGCAAAAAAGTGGCTTTATTCGTATCTTACTGTGAGAAGTCAAGAAGGCTCCGAGACTTCAAATGTAAGCAAAATTTTGTCAAAACAAAGCTGCCTTTTATTTTTAAAGCAAGTTGATAGAATGAGATCAGACATTTTACTAAGAAATGTTTAGTAAGCCGTCAGTTGAGCTGTGTTGTATTTCCCCCTTTACACCACTTGGTGGTGACTTAAGTAAACAGGCCAGTTTCTTTTAGAAGCTGAAAACTTAAAGCAGTGCTCTGTTGTACTAACATCCTGTTTTTTTTTCTGTTACAATAAGTGTGAAGTACTTTCTCATATTCTCAGATCAAACATACTGTAAAAAATATTTTTTACGCTTTTTTGGATTTCTATTAGAGCATCGCAGATTGGAGAAAAGCACAATAGCACTATAACAATTAACTGCAGCATAAAAGGCTAAAATGTTATTCAGACTGTTGTAATGCATACCTAGCATTATTATCTGTAAAATGCTGCCTTTCTTAACCAACTCAAGATATATCTGCAGATTAGAAAAATTAACATTAGGCCCAGCCTTTTCTTAAGGCTTTTTTAAGAAAAGGCTTTTTTCTGTTTTTAACATGGTTTTATTGAGTGTTCAAATTTGAAGAAACGTCATATGAATCTATGTACTAAAATGATTCACATGCAAATGCCTCAGACAAAAATTGCATCAGCAACACTGTAGCTATGCTTTCCAGTACTTTTTTTTTATTATTTTTTTAGTTTTTTGAAAAATAAAGTCTGGCAGCTTTGACAACATCTGGTTGATTTATAATTGTTGAATTTCATATCATCTGGTCAAGTTGGAGATTCCCTCTAAGTCACAAAAATACTGACTTTGTGGATTTTCCGGCGCAAAAGAAAAATAAGTTGTTTTATTAAGAAAAAAACTACACCAGTGACTCTACATTTGATTGGTTGTGTGGATTTTGTAATATGTAAATAAAAACAAAAAAATACTTTTTGACACATTAGCCTGTCTGTTTCTTCTGTAGACAGTTTGTGCATTGACAACTACCTTGGAAAAGTATTAAAGCCTTTAACTAATAATTTCCTCACATTACCACAAATGTTTGTTCTTTTAGGATTTTATTACACATAAAAAGGAAAGATAAATGTGATTAGTTTTGTAATTATTGAATTAAAAATGGGAACCTGAAAATCTTAGTTATCTTTTATCATCCTCGGTAACTTTGATTGAAAAGTCACTGCAAATCATTCAGAATAATCCATCCCTAAAGTGGTGGCTGCATCATGCTGTGGAGAGACTGGAAGATGATTATATTTGATGGAAGGAAGGATAGAGATAAACGCAGGGCAATCCTGAAAACAAGCAACTTGTTAAAGACGGCCAAAGACATTGGATTGGTGCAGAGGTTCACTTTATAACAGAACACATGTATAGCAAGAGCTACAACGGAAAGGTTAAGAAATAAAGAGTCTTGTGTTTGATGGTCCAGTCAAAGTCCAGTCGAAAATCCATGAGCACCCTTGAAATCTGATTGTCACAGATGTTCTCCATTCAATCTGACGGACCACTTTTGCAAAAAAGAGCGGCCAAAAACATCATCCTATGTGCAAAACCGACGGAGAATCCATTAGATTAGTAATAAAATTGAAACGTTTAGGCCGTAGAATAAAGACTCAGTAAAGATTGATTTAAATGTGTGCCATTCTTTTAAGTTTTTGTTTTTAAACCATTTTGAAAGCCATGCATCCTTCTAGTATTACTGCACAATTATTAGCTCCTCTGTGTTGATGAGCGACAGCTAGCTCAAATTGTGGCAGTGTCAACTATAGTGGTTGGTCCACTGGCAGGTCACACTGGAAGTGCCGCTATCTGAAACCGGTGTTGGTTTGACACCTAAACTCCTACTAAAAAACAAATAGGTTTGTGGTTGCAAAGTGTCAAAATGTGAGGTCATAGGTGTGGAAATACTTTTCTGAGGCACTTCCTGTGAAAAACAAAGCTTTCTGTTTGGTTTTATATGCATCTACTAAACTAGGTATTTAGAAAATAAGGCCCAGTAATTGTAACTGTAGATTCTATGGAGACCAAGGGGACACAGTAACACTAAAACATGTATATTTTATCATTTGCTCTCTTATTCTGGTGCAATCAGCACAAATTTAGATTTCTTTTTTACATCTCAATCATTCATTCATTTTCAGTTTGGATCCTGCAAATGGGCAACACAACTGTCATGGTGTCAATTTTATTTTGTTTCTATCGGGGAAGAAGTTGAATGCAGAAACACAGTGCATCTCAAAACTGTACACACCCTTGTCAAAATGTTGGGGTTATATGATTCAGCATGCAGTCTTGACTTGCATCCTGTAGTACCCAGTTCAAAGGTGTGATTAAAAAAAAATGCCTCATTGTTAGAGTTGTGCTTCTCAGTGGTGTAATTCCTTTATATCTTGAGGTCAATTCCAGTGAGCTCAAATTCAGACTGCGTTCTTCAGACTCTCGTGGAGTTAAACCAGTGTTTTTCAACCACTGTGCACACAAGTATACCGTGAGTGATCGTCAGGTGTGCCGTGGGAATTATCCAATTTCACCTACCGTATTTTCCAGACTATGAGCTGCTACTTTTTTCCTACACTTTGAACCATGCGACTTGTAGCCCGGTGCAGGTTTTTTGGTGGATTTTTCTTCAACCACCAGGGGGCTCTTTAGCAGAAAGTGAATCATTTGAAGTCAAAATTGGAAATCAAAGAAGAACGCGCTAATTTTCATTTCGAACAAGCACATGCTAGCTAGCAGCAGTCACTATGGAGAAATGTTTTCAAACTCATGTGATGCAGCTTCTAAGTTGAGGAGTATTGATCTGGCAGTACAGGAGGGAAATAAGAGCCGCTGCAGAGCCGGTTTTGTTCACTCGGCGTGAGCATAACCGGATTTGAAAACGGAGAACTGCGTCCTTAATATATCAAGCAGTTATTATGACGCAGCCCTCTGCTGGGTCCTTATAGAAAACCGAGAGCGGCAGAGATACCAGCGGCCTGTAGCCCGGCGCGGCTGATATATGTAAGTTTCCAGGCGAGGGGATGGGGCAGGGGGGGTCAAACATTTGAAGGTGCGGTGAATGGTGCGCTGATAGTCCGGGAAATACGGTAATTGGTCTTAAAATATTTTTTAAAAACGAATATTTAGATGCAAATAATGCCATCTTTGAGTGTCTCTGCTGTAGTAGTGACTAGCGGCGCAATCATTTTATCATCACTAGATGGCAGTAGGTACAGAGCATTTTACTTTTAGACAAGAGAATTAGTGTTGTGGCCCTGTTCAGATGTATTTTTTGAAGTAGACATGTTAAGTGCAATTTGAAATAAGAACTGTAAAATATGATAAAAAAATAAATTTTGTTTTTATTTGATTCCTATTCAAGACACTTTGACAAGAATGACTTTATATATAGGCGGCTACAGAGTATCTTTGTTTACATTTTTGATTGGTGGTGTGCCTCGTGATTTTTTCAATTAAAACAATGTACCTTTGCTCAGAAAAGGTTGAAAAACAATGAGTTAAACATTCACTAATGACCTAAATTAAATGGAGAAATGTAACACTGAGATTAGGTAACACAGCTCATAAATGCATACAAAGTAACTCTTTTTACTCTGCTACACAATTTTAGTTAAAACCTTGTAGGTTATTTAACCAACCTGGACTAGTTTAAAAACATTACACCCTTTTCTTTCCTTAAATGTTTAGTATTTTAACCATCAGTCTTAACTATTGAAGTTTCCATGACAAATAAGTGTGTGTACTTATTTTCTTTTTCTGTTTTATTTTGCCCCAACAACAGAAATATAACATATTCCTAGCTGCAGAAATGAACTGTTAATTAATGTAAAAAAAACCCCCATTCAATCTCACTATTTTAGACACATTCTTCAGTATTACAACAATGTGCTTTATTATAATGCAATGCTTATAGTTTTGCTTCAAGATGAAGCTTATCTCTAAATATATAACAAACCCATTTTAAGATAAACGGTGCAAATATTTCTAGAAAAACAGTTTTAAACACAAATTTCCTCGTCATGAGACATTAGTGTAAAAATTTCCTCAAATTGCACTTCAGGTTTTTTTTTTTATCCACTTTCTAAGCAATTTGTTTCTCTTTGATTGAATCCATCAGATTCTTTTTTTCCATCACATTTCTGGTTCCACTGGTTTGATCTTGATGTGGATGCCATTAAGAGAGCGGAGAACCAGTCTGGGAATTATCTTGGGCTTATTGTCGGGATCCTCTATCAGCTCGTAGCGCTTTAGTGTCAAGGCCGTCACCACCTTCAACTCATTTATGGCAAATGTCTGGCCGATGCAGTTTCTAAGGGAAGACGACATTAAGAAGGACATTAAAGGGTTAAGCAGAAGATGAACGATGAAAAACAAGTTGTAACAGAGCAGGCATGTGGTCACTTTACCTTTCCTCTGCTTTACTCTAGCACCAAACAACAGGACTTTTATTATGCATGTAAAACTAGGTGTGTGTGTGCTACGTTACACATTCACAAGCTGCAGGCTGATATAAGATCAAAGACAAAGTGGCTATAAACTGAGATAAGTCAAACAGTGTTGAGTTTTTCCAAACCTTGGTCCAGCTGAGAAAGGCACAAATGCATGAGGTGACCTCTTAGAGACATTTTCTGGGAGGAATCGCAGCGGGTCAAAGACCTATGGCAACACAGGCGGAGAGAAAACATCAGGTTTTCTTACAGGCATACCAAAGAAAATGCATGTCGAAAATAAAAAAATCTGATCTTAAATCAAATTCATATTGTATAATAATTTCTTAATTGTCTAGGGAATTAAAAACTGAGAGTTGCAGAACCTGTAATACATTTTCTCTGTTTTCTTGTTCTTTTTGTACACTCCTCAGGAGAAAAAAAAAAAAAAAAGATCAAAATAATAACTTCTGAACAGCCTGATCTGTCCTGTATTAATGCAGTGACTGCTTTTCTATAGCTTGAATCCATTTAAAAATTTTAATTTCCAATGCCATTATGGTTATAATAAACTTTGCATCACTTACATCAGGGTTTTCCCAGACTGTTGCATTTCTGTGAGTTGCAAACATGCTTACTCCAATGTGAGAGCCTTTAAAAAAATAAAGCTGTACTTTAGTTAGGACAGTGAACAAAATGCAGAGGTGAAGTATGTGTACACCTCTTCTTCAAACATGTCTTGAAGTTAACATTGAGTCATCGCTGTAAAGCTGCTTGTGTCAATACGTTTCCTAACATGTTGCAGGGATAAATTTGGTTCTGTATAGAAAGTGCTTTATAGCAATCTGCATAAAAAAAATACTTATAAAGTCTGAAAGATAATATTTCAAGAAGTTTTTATGTGACTAAGTTACACAGTAACAGGGAGTGTACTGCACAGTGCACATAGGAAACAAATACTTTTTTCGCAACCACAGATTGTTAATGTGTGCAGCTTTGTTAAGCTTATTTAATAATGAGTTCCACATTAAACCAGTTCCGCGGTTTAGAAAGTTAATATTTTATTTTCACTTGTAAAGTTTATATACAGTATCCGTCAACCTCAGCGTTTCTTTAAAATAACACACTAATGCCACTGACCTGCTGGCAACGTTCTTCCATCGAAGAAGGTGATGGGTTTAGTGATCTGCCTGGATATTCCCGGTACAGGAGGATAAAGACGAAGGGATTCTTTGATGCACATTGTGGTGTATGGAATTTTATTAAGATCCTCCCTTAATATGGGACAAGAGACTTAATGTTATTCACAGAGAGGCGGTAAAGTTGAGCATAGATTAGATTTAACTATCAATCTAGCACAGCTGAGGACCAGCTTTCTTTTACAAGCATCATTTTCTCCAAGTTTTCCTACCACTCCATGGTGTCTTTGCCTTGTAAAGCTTCGCAAATTTCATCCCTGCAGAGCTTCTGGTGCTCCGGGTGGCAGGCCAAGCAGTAGAGGATGAACGAGATGCCGCTGGACGTGGTGTCGTGCCCCTCGAACATAAAAGTGTCCACTTCTGCTCGCAGGTCTTCATCCGACAGGCCCTGCTGGTTTTCGTCCTGCAGAAGGAATTAAAAATTAAAAGTAATTGCAGACCGTAAAGGCTATGTCGCAGGTCATTAGCCCAAGCATTTTTACAGGGACGTGCAGATTGCTTGGATGCGCCACATGTTTAAAATTACTCTGCATGTTATGTTTCAACCAGTAGTAAAAATGCATCTGATAAAAACGCACAACAAAAAAACCATTCAAAACACATTGGCAAGCATTAAACACTTAGTCTCAATTATTTCTCATAGCTGTGACTCAAAGCAGCTTTTAAAATAGTGACATTCACAACTGTCGGTTAACCACACTGTTGCTATTTGTTTCATTTTATGATTATGTAGTACAGAACCCTGAGGTACAAGGGTCATTGCCCTCCATTGTACCTTTGAGCTTCAGATAGAGGACGGCAACCTTGTTGTTCTGAAAGAAATCCTTATCAGCTGCTCAGCGTTGTTAAAAGAGACTGCAAATGTTGCAAAAGGAAATATTTTTTTAGCTCTATCTAGTTTTTCCCCTCAGCTTTTTAGCATAGAGAGACAAAATGGTGAAAAACTGCTTTAACAGAGAACATTAGTATGCAGAGCATGTTTACTTGCTGAGTCACTTCTGGCTGCTTTAATGCTATGACCTTGTGTTGCCTCATCTCTAATCTGTTATCAGGTTTATATAATTCCTTTTTCAATTTAAATTTTATTTTTCAGTGCTGGCCACATTGATTGACAGCCTTGTAATGCAATTTAAAAAGCTTTAATGTGAATTAATCTTTTTACTGCACTGACATAAATTCTACTTAAAAAAATTAAATGTTAAGCCATTTTTATTTATAACATCTCTTTTGATTGATTAGAGTTCCTCTGTTCTCGCTTATTTTCCGTCTCTTCAGTTCACCCAACAGGTTTTCTGAGGTATTTTGTTTTGGTAGACATATTTAAAGAGTATTTAATGTTATGCACTCTAACAGGACTTTGGGAGAGAGATAGGCCCACAGCATCATAGATCCTTCACAAATCAACTGCACATGAAAGGCTGTTTTGTATATTAGTTCATTTGATTTTTGTTGCTGCATTTTTAAGTGTCAGATTTCATAAGCATGAAAAAAGTCTTCATTCTTTTAATGGTTTTACACATCTTTGCCCAACCTATCAATGGGAAGGGTTCTCTATAAAACTCTAAATGTCATTTCGTCACTTTTGTTATGAGTCCTTTAAACGTTAACATTGTAAGAGTCTTATCACAATGTATGTAGGTTCCTAGAAATTCATATTAACTTTTAAAAAGTGAAAACAAAAATGCATGAGACATTTATTTAATACCGTTTCATTTTGGGTACCAATAATTGTGCCACTGATGATTTCGTTAAAAACACTGTTCTGAATGCTTTTTTCCTCCTATGAATAAATGTTGTGTTTTTTAATGACTTTTTCTAATCTAATACCAAAAGATAATTTTTTTGGGGGGGTTATTTATGTGTCTTCACCAGTTTTCCCTGTAAATATGCCCTAATTTGATGCATTTGGTACTTGCTTTACAATTATTTGCGATTATGGTGTTTGATAGTTTTTTTTTTTTTTTTTTTTTTGCTTTAATCTTTCTTTTAAATATCATTTTATCTAAACCTCTGGCAGAACTTCAACTCAGCTCTCACTGAACAAATAAACAAAAGCCACACTTTTGCTTTTAAATCAGATTTGAATTGATGTCACATACTCGTGCAAAGAGAAGAATGTCCAGAAAATCCAAGTATCTTTTGGCCTGTATGCGGCTCAGTTCCGTCTCTTGCTTCAGTACCTCTTTCCTCTTTTTGATGACCTCATCTTGAAAAGAAAACAAACGGTTACTCTTTAAATGGACAGGTTATATTAATCAAAGATTTCACTGGGCTCAGGGCTTACCTGTGTGACTTTGAGCCACCTTGTATGCTTTCCTGTATCTGAAACCATGTGGGCTGAGGTGGAAAATGAGATCACTGTGGTATGGAAACATCCTCACCCGGAGGTTAATAAGATTGGTGAGCTCATACACTGCTTTGATGTAGGCATTTGTTCCCCTGACAGAAAAAAAAAGCAGGGAAACATGAAAGGTGATATCTTCCTTCTGCTTGTTAATAAAGCATCTGAACTTGTTTTGGATGGACGCAGAAGCTGAAGGGGTGATTTTTGTTACGGTTACTCACCCCTCTGTCTGACAGTTGCTGTTGCAGCTAAAGGCACACTTCATGATGCTATCCAGTGTCATCAGGCTCACATGCTCAAACAATTCAAAGGACTCTTTAGAGTTGGCATAGCGTTCCCATTTGTCCTTAAAAATACAAGGACACAAATGTAGCATGTAAGCAGGAAAAAATGGGATACAAGGATTAAGCTCAGCTCAGGTTCAGTCAGAGATTACACTCAGCAGCAGCATAAACTGCATATTAATCTGAAGCTTTCATTGATTTATTTATTGATTCTTTTTCAAGAGTTGGAAAAAGGATACCACACAACTTCAAGACTTTTTAAAGTAGAAACGTTTCATTGGTTTAAAACTATTAGGGACTTTCTCTAACCCACATACTTACTCAAAAATACACCCACACTGATATTTAGATAATTTGTTCTATGCAAGTTGCAGAGAAACCACAATATTGGTAGCCTTAACAAAGATTCTGGCAAAATTCTCTCAACATGTGTTGCTAACCTAGTTCTGATCTATATTTTTTGGGGGGCCCTGGCACAGAGCTGGTTTTTAAGCGTAGTTCTTATGTGTTCAACAGAGTTTGGGTTGACTAAAGAGGTCTGTTATATCCTTCTTCTTATTCAAAACCAGTGTTGATGTGTATTCGCAATATTTGAGTCATTACAGCACACAAGGTGTCCAAGTTTTAACCATCTGATTTATTCAGAATGACATCAGGAAAGAGGTTGTTTCACAATTGTTTCACAATTATTTCACTCTTGAAATGGGGTAGGAGTGGGACAATGCATTGCCTTGTTAGCAACATGTCTAATCATTATTCATTCATAAATTACATACCAGCATTGTTTTGGCAGAGTCTGACATCAGTTTCACGTATGGTTTTAAAACATCATAATGGAAACCTGGAGTCAGGAGCCTCCGGTGGCGAAACCACTTCTGGTCTTTTGACACCAACAAACCATTTCCTAGAGAAAAAGAGACACAATGAGAGCGAGTCAGTAAAATGTTACAAGTTAACCCTGCATTAAGACAAAACAAGCAAGTAGGATAAAGCAAAGTATTCTTACCGATCCAAGACTCGATAAATTTATATGCAAAATCATCCTTTGGCTCTATTATTAAAAAAAAAAGTAAATGAAAGCCAAGTTAAATTGATGTTTACATCACGGTTATGATGCTGTAATAAAGAGTTAAAGTGAAAATATGTTCCCACCTGTTGATGCCAGAATAGTTTTGACATAATCTGGGTGGTGAATGTTGAGAATACAAATAGACGGGCCGAACCACATAGGGAAAGCATAGGGATAGCTCTCCGCCCACTTTAACACTTTGATAAAGTCGGTCCCATCTTGTTTAAACTAAAAAAGCAATAACAATATAAGACATGTGAAAATACACACACAGGTTTACACCGATACGCTGCACAAATTTAGACATTTACACACACTGCTTCTAATTTGCATAGATTAACAATTATAATTAAAAAGCTTTAATATATATTACTTCATTTCAATTTACAAAACCCAAAGCTGATTAAGTGGTATCCACCAATATTATCAAATTCTAACATGTTCCACATTCTCCAGATTATAACAACTTGTGATATTAATGCATTGCAGATTTTAGTTGGTTTCCAATTTAGACCATTGAAAGACCTAGTTGATTGCAAATTATAATTGCATTTGCATTCATCTTAAGTTTTTAGGATTTCATCCTCTTAACTGTTCTCACAAGTGGAGGATAATTTTACATTAAGTTATAAGGGGGCACAACAATGGAAGAAAGTTATTCTCCACTGTTTTCATTACCTACTTGATTTTACCCATTTTGTATTTTGTTTGTATAACACAACACACGTATACATTTGATGATATATATTTTCAAAGATGCATATTTTTATTGCTTATTTCTGTTATTTTGTCACATTAATTTGGTAAATTAAACAATGATGACTTTTTTTGATGTATGTTTTTTCTTTCTCCGTTGTATTATTTTTTTATTACTACTACTTTAACTAGTAGTAGCAGTACTACAAATAGCATCATTACTGATATTTGTATTATAATTGTATTCATTCCAGTTGTTATTTAACAAAAGGCTGAATGCTTTATATAAACTTTATGCCTCTCTCTCAGCAATATTATTATTATTAGTTGTTTATATAAAAATTTGAATGAACTACAAAGTTTGTATGAAACTTTAAACAATACTTCAATTAAGAATTTTAAACTTGATTACACACAATGAAAAGCCTTAACGTTGAGACTATGTTATAGCTACATAAGGCTGCAGCTGCTGCATTTAATGGCTGGATGCCACTAAAACTCGTTACCTCCAGAACATTTCCAAACAACACGTGTGCCGGGGGTCCTGGAAAGGCTTCAAAGCTCTTCAGAAGAGCCTTCCGTTTCAGGAGGATGAAGGTTAATTTGTACACGGCGGCAACGAGGCACAGCGCAGATAAAAAGTAGTGCATATGAGGCCAGGCCAGCTGGTATTTGAGGAAAGCTTCTGTCAACTGCATCCCGACGACGTCCGTGTTGTGCAGGAGGAGAAGTGACGCTCCCTCTGTGTGCGCAGCAGCAGGCAGCCTGCGGTTGACTGAGGAAGGCGGTGATTGCGCATGTCGGGGCGGGGTTCTCCGTCAGCAACCGCGCCTGCACTTGCTGACGGATATTTAAAGGGATTTGGGCGATAAACACTTAAAATGCTTCTGATTATTGCCAGTGTTCAATTAAGCAGCCCGTTTGATACCGTCATGTAATTTGGTGGAAAGCTAATCCCTTTTTACTTAATTTAATTTTGGTCAACAAAATGTTTAATTATTGTCGAAAACGACTTAAATGAGAAATAAAAATGTTTTTGACGCGTCCTACATCTAAAAACATAATTTTTACTTCCTAGGTAACAAACCGGCACATCTCAGTAAAATTTATTATATTTTTATAAATCAAACGTGAAAAAAAAATCTATGAATTTGTAATGATTACAGTGACATATTTAACCTGTTTATTTCTGGTTATACTGATGAAATTGGCTTAAGGCTAATAAAAACCCACAATTAATTTTCTCCGACAATTCAATATTCCTGACAAAAATTAGATTTTTAATAAAGAAATGTTGGTATGGCTTGTTAGTAACAAGATTTGACATTTATTCAGTAGACAACAAGAAGAGTAAACCACAAATTCTCTTTATTAAAAAAGCTGACTGTTCACAGAATGCTGCACAGCAGTGGAAAGTTTAGTAGAAGGAAACATGTCAGAGTACATGCACAAGCAACATAATCTCACCTTTGAGAGGATTATGAATGAAAGTCCATTCATTCAGGACTCACGGCTTCGAGGACCTCCACACTGAGACACATCCTGGGAAGAATAGTTCTTTTGATTCTGGTTTTCATCAGCTTCAGATACTGTTATGAAGGAGATTGTGTGTCAAAGCAAAGCCAGGTTACAAGTAATTGGTGACAAACTATTATTTGCTGTTTGTTTTTGTACCGTATTGATTGCACATATTGCTTAATCACTGAGTAATTGGCAAATTCTTGACTTTATCTGTGTGTCAGATTCAGCACCTTTGTTGTTATCGGTGGAGTTTTGAGCAACATTCCTGATTTCATTCCTGTTCTACCTAAAAGAATGAAATGTACATCTTCCATGCCCAAATATGAAGGATGTTTTGACATTTATAATATCTCTGGCAGATTTTAATCAGTACATGATGTACTCTATCCACTCAGCAAGCCAATTTTCCAGACAAACTATACATCAGCCTTCCTACCCCTTGATCTTTCTCACAATTTGCTTTACAACAGAGAACAAATCTTAGTCTGTTGTATGACGAAGAATCGCATGATTATAATGTGGAAGTGAAAACTTGCTATTGTGCAAATAAGGACTTTTGCATCAATTACTAAATAAGGGAATAAAAAAGTTTCTAGGTGCCATTATTAATAATATGTAAATAAAACAAATAGAAATAAACATTCCCTTAAGATTCCTGTATGTTTTCTATCTGAGACTTACTTCTTGGTTGAATGAAAATCATTTTAAATCTAAATCTACTTTGGCTACAAAGTTTGGAGATAGAGACACTACTGCTTTCAGTTCGGTGTGTTCAGTGTATTTATTCCTCTTGACCTAGATCTTCCTTTTACTTATAGGCTCGTCTTAATTTATTTGATTTACTTTTAATTATTTTTTTATTATTATTTTGTAAATATACTTTGTAATTCTTACCTTGTGCTGCACACGCACATTTGAATTTCCTGTAAGAAAAAAATTCTAGTTATATTTGGGGAACATTTCAAAAGACAGATGAGAAATGCCTTGAGCCGTTCCTGGGTTTACTCTGCTTGTGTGACTCACGTCTGTTTCGTGGTGCTCATGATAAGCGAATGTTTCCACTGTTGGTTCACTGTCAGAAAATACCTCTAAAAATTAGAGTTTGCAAATTAACTTTTAAAACATTTCAGACAATCAACTCCAGGTGTTTAATCTTTAGTTTAGATTAAAGTAGGTTTTCACAAGGTCAGTCAATCTTTTTTCTATTAAAAAAAAAATCATAAAAAAAGTTATAGTAACATATGCACAAAATTATGAAAAAAAAAGAGTGTCATGAGAGACCTGACACCTCTGTATGAGAAATCAAACTTGTTTGTGATGCACATGCTGTATCTCGACACCTAGGAGATGCAGAAAGCAAAATACGTAAGGCGCAGCGATAGACAAAAGCGTGTGGGCGAGAGCTTTGTTAAATTTCCTATGCAGTGGCTGTTGGACCACTTCCTATGTGTCAGCTTCAGCTTAATTATGACACTCAAACTAAAACCTTGTGATGCTGTACAGAGTCTCTGAACTATGTTTTGGTGAGCTGTGATTATGCTGTGACTGGAGAAGGAGTCTTTGAATTGCTTCACTCTGCCTTCGGTTATGCAAAGACATGACTTCATCGTCTCGAAATGCGTTCATTTGTGTATTTTTTCTGACTTACTGGAACGCATGCATTTTCCCAGGAAACGGTAAGTAGCTGATAAAATCACTGTCATCTCAATGTATTTCAAAAGCAGAATTTTGAACCTGCCTGTTGCCTTTATGACTAACTGAAAACGGATAATTTAGCTGCAGCACATCATCGTCGATCCTGGCTGGGATGTCAAGTTCTGATACACTGTCAGGGTCACAGTGCTGACTCGGGCTCTTTCAAATGGTTTTACAAGGAGAATAAGCACAGTAAGGAAATCCAGCTATACTTTCAGAATAAGAATGGAATAAGACACTATGATGCCAGTCGTTCAAAAGCAGAAATTACGGCAAATCGGTCTCTGGTTATAAATAATTTTGATGATAAAGATCAGGGTGACTACTGGTGTGAAAACTGCCTTCAAGAAACCTGCATCAGGGAAATGTCCAGCTTCATCACTATGCAGAAAGGTTTGAGCTGCTGTCTTTAATGTAAAAGTATTAATATAATTCATTCAGTTCTAAAGTTCTGTTTCTTACATTTTCATTGTGAGTCTGTGTTTGTGTTTTGTTTTTAGAAATTATAGATGAAATTCAAGAGACATTTTACATCCTTCACGGCAGCAGTTTCACCCGCTCATGCCCAGGTGAATTTGTTAACTTAAAATGGACATTTGAAGCCAGCAATGCAGCCCAAAGGGAATTAGAACCGAGATCAGAAATGGTTACTGTTACTACCAACAAGACCTTATATATTGGATCTGTCAAAAATACTAATGCTGGGAAATACACCTGCTGGGTGAATAGATGTGGTGGTCCGTATCAGAAACCGCTCACAATCAACTTATGCGTCATCACAGGTGAGAATTTGATATTTCTCCAAAGTATTGTTCCAAGCTTTCTCACTTCTTTTAGATTTATTAGATGAAAAATGCTTGTCTTACACCATTTGTTTGCTTTCTGACAGTTTCCCGCAAAGGGCATTCTATTTTTTCTTGTGCTGCGACATGCGATGTGGGATTAAATGATCTAAAAAACATTTCAAGTCTTCTGATGAGCAATCAAACAATATCAGTGGACATAGATCCATCTGGGTCCTTAATCTGTAACTCAACCGAGCTCTTGGATGGTCAGCCTACAACAACTACAAACAGCTACACAGTGTCAGCTGCTTTAAACACAACAATGGGTGGGTATTTTTCTTATACAGATTCAAATATGTTTGTTGGTACCGTTGTACCAAACTTAAGAAAAACTACTACACAGTCCCAATAAAATGCTTAGAAAATACCATCTTTAATTTGAGTACATGTACTTAACAAGAAAAAAATAAATCCATGTTAAGAAATAATTGTAACAAAATAACCTGTCAACAATCCTAAAAGTCTTATTAAAATAACTATAGCTAAAGCTCATTTGTGAAGTTTATACTTTACTTTTTAAAGTGTAATTTTCTAATAAAGAATCTGCTGTTAAGAACTGATTGAATTTTGATTTTCGTTGCTCACAATTGGTGTCTTATACTACAGTGTTCATTCCTGATTGTTATGGAATTTCCTCATGTTCTGTTACATGATATTTTTGTCCCTGTATTTTCCTTTGTCTATTTCTATCGGTATTTTTCCTGCTACTCACTTGATTGTTCTGTTACTACTAATCACTCTGCTCTATATTTATTCTCCTTTGTTCAGTCATTCATTGTTGGATTCTCCTTCTTTCTGCATTTTCTTTGCTATTATACTCTCTGATTATTGCATATGTCTCTTCCCACTGTACTTATTTGTAAGTTTATCTTTGTCCTTAAATTACTTCCAGTGTGTATTGCCTATCTCATGACTGGGTTGGGTCCTTTACCACATATGGCGCACGTTTCTTTTTGCCGTACTTAACTGAACAAGGAATCATCTTTATTTTGCCTCCATGTATGATGAGCCAGATGAAAAGGAAGGTGAAAAATATCCCCCAAATTTTAGAGTGCTGCAGATAACGGTATCTTTGGTCACAAAGTCTTCATAATAACCATCAGATACTGCTTGCATCTCAAACCAAGCAGGTGTTTTGGGGGCGTAAAGATAATTTTTTGTCTTGTAATACCATGATGAGTTTGCTCAATTCTCTTCCAAAGAATGTGTGATTTAATGAAATGACATTAAGCTTTTCTGAAAAGGTCGCTTTAATGTAGGCCTGGTGTAAAACAATGGATACATATGTGGGGAAAACCCTTTACATCCATTTTTTAGTAGGACTGAAGCTTTGTGATGTTTTGGGTCAGTTTCTTGTGCATAATTAACTTTTCAAATCGCGGCAACATTTTAACTAAAAATCTTGTGTAGTCCACAACTTAATGGCAAATGTATTATTATTTGGTCTTTTAAGCAGAAAACTTATTGAAAATATGTGGCACAAGCTGTGCATAAACATCCTGCACAGATTGTGAAACATTGTAGGACAAGACTTAGCATTGTGCTTCATGGAGTTATGGTTTAGAAGTAAGAACAGTAATGGTATCATTACTGTTGTTGCTGGAGGTCTTGTTAAAAACTAATATTTTTCTTAACATGGATTAAATTGTCAAAATACTGAACTCAAATGTTGAACTTTTCAAAAAGTTTCAGTGTGAGATAATTATGCTGCAATAACAGATTAATTTAATTAGAGATTTTCTGTGCATTTTTTCAGCAACATTAGCAGATATGATAATGTTTGTATGTCTCCATCTTTAAAAACTGTGTGAAAATGACTTCATATTGAGGATTTTTAAAAGTTTGTTTATATTGTTTTACAGGTGTCTTTGAGAAGACTGAATCTTTGATGTCAATTATTTATGGAGTAGTAGCTGCCTTTACCTTTTTTATTTTACTTGCAATTTTAACTTTCTGTTTGAAATCAAGAGTACATGCTGGTAAGGCTGCAACAATTTACTTTTTTTTTTTTTTTAAACTTCCTGTGTTTTTTGCACACCCGGCAGTTTGCTGTCTTGAAATTTATGCGCCCCCCAAATCTCTTTGTGTTTCTGTTTCTCCTTAGCATTTCCTTTTCGTCTTTCATGTTGTGGCTTCACTCGTGAGGTGAGAACAAATGCAGAGAGATTCTGGTTACCAGTGAACTTTGTACAAGCTTGGCACTGAAATGCCGTGTTGTCTTGACCACATTATGAAACTTATTTCATGCAGGCAGAAGAGGAGTCCACTGTAATTTATTCATCTGTTATCATCAAGACACCGGCAAAAGCAAGAAGTCAAGACACAGATCCTGAAAGCTGTATTTACAGCGAATTAAAGTGTAAAGGAAATACCATTTAGTGCTGATAGAAATCAACACTAAATGGAATTTTTGGTGATCATAATTTCCACACTGTCGATAGATTTTGTAATGGATTCCACGGCAGTGACTTGTGTTTCATGACATTTGAAAACATCCATACACCCACAGGGAGTTTTTCATCCAGTTTTTAAACTACCTGAAGAAAGATGATGGAATCTATTTATGATTTTACAATTATCTTGAATCAAGAAAACATAAGCTGCTCTGTTTAGCGTATGTTAGTCATAAATACATTCTGAACCATTTTCCAACCAAAAATTATGTCAGTTAATATAGAAATCTAAACTATCATTGTGTTTCAATGTCATCTTATAGATAAGTGGTTAAACAATTTTCTAGAATTATCTAAATTGTATTTACAATAAATACTCACATGGATATAATTCCTCAAAGTCTTTTGTAATTTTACATCATCCATTCATGTTATATTTATTATTATTGTTATTATTATTATTATTATTATTATTATTATTACTACTATTGTAGAATAAGTGCAATTTAAATTATTAACATGTTGCTACACTTAGAAGACTTTTGATGTTTTGGTTTTATTTTTAAAAAGCCCCTTTTTTACATGACAAAATTGCAACAATGAATTTATCTCGCTGTAAAAGAAATCTAAAAGAAAGAAAAAAGAGATTGGAATAAATATTTGCTTGGAAAACCAATAATCGAGTCTGATTTTGATTTTACACCCACTCTAAGCTCTAGGGGGCAGCAGTAACCTGGATGAAGTACGCCTAGTTTGTCTTTACTGAGCAGAAGAAGAAGAAAGGAAGCCGTTTTTCTTTCAGGCAGTAGTTGCAGATGTAGCGAATTGTTTTGTGGCGAATAATTTTGTTTTGATTGCCAACTTCTTTCTCTTTTATTTTTTTACAATCTTGTCAAATGTTCAGACGATTATTGGCGTTCCGGCGTTGCGCCTCAATCGCGATTAGTAAAGTAGCTCTGAGCTAGCTGGGAAGCTACTAGCCTAGTGTTGAATGGGTCAACACTGTGAGGTTAGGCAAGGAGATACCAAATATACCAACATTTCCCCGGTTGTTTTCATTAGGCGGGGAGAAACATTGTCTTGTATTTTTCAGGTAAAAGTTTTTAAAACACGCTGTTCATAAGCGATGTACATAACGGTTAGCTTTCTCTGCTAGTTAAAATGAAAGTTAATAGATTGGTAACGCTCTGGTTTACATATATTAAGAAACACATGTTACAAAAAGATTATATTTTGCCCTGAAAACAATGTCAGTGTGTTCGGTGCTACTTTAATACTATTTAATGTATTGACTACGTTTTCGTCCTTTAAGCTCCTTGAATCCTGAGACGAGATGGAGGCTCCTCCCGTTACTGTTATGCCCATCACCAGTGGCACAATCAACATGATGGAGTATCTACTACAAGGTAGGATGTGTTTGATACAGCCACGAACAGGAACAAACAATTATATGCAAGTGTTCTCAATGAATCCCTTTGTATTACCAATCTTGAATCAAGAGCACGCTTTCAAAAAGTCAGATTGAATTCATTTGTCATGCAGCTTGGAGAAACGTATTGATTGTTTTGAATACATAAATACAAAAAAAATGGTATATTTCAAATCGGTTTAAGTCTCGACTCTCTTGATTCGTGGTTTGAAACTGGACTTATGATTCTGCAGTCGTTATGATGGGAGATTTTACAAACTAAATAAAGGTAAAAAGTTCTTAATGTAAACATGTTGAGGAATTTGAATTATTTCCAAAAGAAAGTAGTGAAATGGCATTGTGCCAATTTCAGAATCAACACCATAGTGTTTTATGATTTGATTATTTGAATTAATGAACTCTTTTACAGTTCAGTCTTAATATTTTATACCCGAATGTCTGATATGCAACTACAACAGCAGAAAACTTTTCAACATTTTAGTCTGAAGAAGTGTTAAACTTTGAAATAAGAAATGTGTATGAACCCTGCAAAGAAATAAAGGTTTCTCAAATCTCAAACTGTGCTGGTTAAAGTGTGTATTTCTGTGTGTTTTTAAAAGGAAGTGCTAAGATATTAGAAACTGTGTAGTTTTAAGGTCTTGTAGCTATTTGTACTACATAAACAAGCTATTGATTTTTAGCAGATTCCAGTGGCTGTTTTTGCATGAAAATATGTCGTCTGTATTCGAATCATCTTTTCCACTTTTGATTCCAGGCAGCGTGTTAGACGCGGCTCTGGAAAGCCTGCTGCATCGTCTGCGTGGTCTGTGTGACAACATGGAGCCGGAGACGTTTACAGACCACGAACTGGTGTACCTTTTGAAAGGCCAGCAGGGGAACCCTTTCATTCTGCGCGCTCGCCGCTCTCTCTCCCACCCCACGGCTCCGTGGCACCTCCGCTATCTGGGCCAACCTGAAGTAGGAGACAAGAGCCGCCACGCCCTGGTGCGTAACTGCGTCGACGTGGCCGCCTCTCACAGCCTTCCGGATTTCCTCAATGAGATGGGCTTCCGCATGGACCACGAGTTTGTGACCAGCGGACACATATTCCGAAAGGGAGCTATGAAGGTTGTGGTGTGCAACGTTTCCCGTGTGTTGGTGCCCGGGAACACAGAGAACACCGAGCGAATGTCGCTTTCACATTTGGTTGAGCTGAGTGTTTTGGCGCCGGCCGGCCAGGACACCGTATCGGAGGACATGCGGAGCTTTGCTGAGCAGCTGAGGCCTCTGATACATTTGGAGAAGATCGACCCGAGCAAGCAGAGACATTAAGAAGGTTTCAAAATGGGGTTCTGGTGAACGATAAGAAGCAGCTCCCGTCTTTGCTTTAAGTTAATACCTTCATTGGTGTCTTTATTTAGGTCAAAGAGAGGCCACAAACAAAGGTGATTACTATCTAACAGGTTTGTTTTAAAGCAGTATTTAGTAAGAACATCTGTCTTCCTAAAATCATATTTTTTTAGAATAATTGTCATAAAATAGTGTTTTCACAAACAGCTGTGAACATTTTTAGATTAGAATGGTAGAAATCATCTGACTAGGCATTAACATCAGTCTTCTGGATTAGCTAATCTGAATTTATAAAATGAAGACACCAAGAGAGCTAGCTGCTGTTTGTAAGAAAACTGCTGCTAAGCTTTTAACAGAACCTCACATTAAAAACTTTGACGTATTAGTTATGTCGATCTAGTCTGTTCTGAAAGCAAAATGTCTTGTTTATTTTGTACTTAAAATATTTTTTGCTACAGTTAATAAAATACAGTACAATTTTGACTATGCAGCTATATTTCTGGTTGATTTGTTCTGCAAGTTGGACAAAAGATAATCTTTTTATTGCCATTGGATGTCTTCCCATATTAACATGTTGGAAATAAGTCTAGTCTCGAACATATTTACAGTCGTGGTGTTGAAGCTAGAGTAGTCCCACCTGCGAGTCTCATTAGGGACGTACTCTTTTGACAGCAAACTTTGACGGTCTCTCATACCTGTGTTACTTTGTGGGAATATTTGTTGCTTTTTTGTTGTTGTAGGTAAACGTAATTGAATAATATTCTCTTTGTTTCTAAACTTTGCTGTAAAACAGTGTGGCTTTTTCTCAAATATCAGTGCTTTAATTTTTAAAAAATTTTTTTCTCTTATTTTAGTAATCATATCACGTTTTTTTATATAAAGCAGATACACATAAAGTAGAATGCAAATATATTTTCACTTGTGACTACAGCAAACTACTGGAAAGACAAACTGTTTAAACACGTGGTATCTGTTGCCAGGGAGTTGTTCGTTTTATTCCTTTTCATCTTCCAAATAGTAGAACAAAATCTTTCCACGCTTTCAAGATGCAAAACCCCTTCAAGTCAAACTCCTTTTTAAAGTGAATTCGCTTGTCAAAGCCACTAGGGGTCGCTCTTTCTCTTTTTTTTCCAGCCTTGATTGGCGCACACTGAACGCCACCTCTCCTCATCTACAGGAGCTCTGGTTGCCATGGAAATAATTAGCTGCGAGATCCGCACATCTTTTACCCTACTCTAATTAGCTTTCTCAATTGCTTAATGATACATAGACCTGTGAAAGCCTTTCTTTCTTCCCTTCAACAAAAGCATTGATTTCCACTCTCTTCCCCTTTCATTTCCACTGTTAACCCATTAGTGTCCCTTTTTTTTTTCCCCATGAACTTGAGCTGGAAGTGTCACACATGCAAACCCTGCAGCTGCCTCAGGTTCTTCCGTGTCCATGTTGAAATCAACAAAAGGACTCTTCACTGGTGCGTCAACATTAGGGGCCAATTGCCAGCAGAAGACGGAAGTAACTAATGCACATCCTGTCGGTTATGATAATGATGTTGGCAAAAAGACGTGAGTGCTTCTAATAATACGCTTGCAGGAAGATGCATTTGCCGGAGTTCAGATGCAAAGTGACCGCGTGCATGTCTGAGAGGACAGCTCCAGGGCCTGATGGCTGTCTGTGCACGTTGACCTACCTGCATGTCAAGGCTGATGAGGACAAGCTCTCTCACTGAGGTGGAAAGGTGAGGTGACTGTGCTTCCACATGCATTTAGTGCACTTTGAAAGCCACTTGTCTAAACACACGCACATAAAAAAAAAGTAATAATTGCAGAGATGTTTTAATCACTTTTTTAATGATTGGTCTGTTTAGTTGGATCTAATTTTGCATTCAATTACTGGTTAGGCTTAAGTTTTGTCTTGGTAAGACTGAACTGTATGACGGAGACAGTTTTATGTTCCAACAACACCAAGCAGAGCGCTGGCCCTACGGACTAAAGTATGATGCTTCAGCTCCAAGTGAATTATGTATTAAAGAGACAGATGCCTCCTTGCCTAAGGCTTTATGTGTCCAGCAAGGATACACTACAGTCTTCTGGCTTTTTTCCACTTAAAGTTGTGTTTAGCGCAGTGCTCTTTGGTGATGAGCTGGTCTACCCACTGCACCTTCACTCCACAGTGCCTAGAGAGCTCAGGCATAGCTGGACTAATCAGTGTTTTGGCATCTGGCCTGCTTGGCTATTGTGAATGTTACCAAGCACTGACTTCCAAAAGTGAGAAGTCTGACTTTGCTGAAGACAAATAGATGAAGTATATCGGGCATAAAATAAGCTTCTCTCAGAAATGCATCTAAAGCTTTGTGAAGATGTGTATGTTTTTCACATTTACGTTTTATGTGTTGCTTTTTTTGTTTGTTGCAAAAAGAAAACAAAACGCTGACTAATGGGACACCTGTTTGCATTCAGCCCCTGAGTCAATCCTTTGAACCTCCTTTTGCTGCAAGTAGGCAGTAAAAGGAGCATGTTTGCCAATATTTATTTGTCAATTAGTGTAAGCTGAGTCAGATTGGATGGTGAGTGTCCATGAACAGGGATTTTCACATTTTACCACAAATTATCAAAAGAAATAAGGTCTGAACTTTGACTAGGACATGTGAGCCACCTTTTTGTAGCTCTGGTTGTATATGTAAGGTCATTTTTTATTGTTTATAGCTTGATGTTTCCTTTTAACTGTATTTTTTTGTTGGCGCCCACTGGCGAGGTCTCCCTTGAGAAAGAAGTTTTTAATCTCAATGGCTCTTATCCTTGTAAAATAAAGGTTAAGTAAATAAACAAAATCCTACTGATGATTGGATCTGTAAATCAGTCTTAGGTCTTTTGCTGCCTACAGAATTGTCCTGCATTAACTTTATCCATTTGTATATATTATTATTAGTTGCCTTATTTTTTTTTTCCAGAACATTTTTCACATCCTATTTAAATTGGCACATTTTAGATTACGTAAAATGACGAAAGAAAATTACAGAAACTACTGTTTCATGTAACTATTGTGAAAAATGTTCAAATAAAAATAACTATGATGACATCACATAGCCGCATCAGAAACACTGAAATGTGTAAATGGGTTATTTAACTCAAAATTCAGAAAAAACTAAATGACTCTTCTGTAGGAATCATTTAAGGAGAACGTTGTTGCTTTACTCTACTTTGACTTGGTTTAAAACGTTTCAGCTCTAAAACACTGCCTTGAAACATCTTTAGCTTTGTTACTTTTTGTTACAAGACTTAGTCACTGACAGCCCTGAGTACGGGCACAGAGCACACAGATTTTCCAATTGGTTTTATTTGTTTTTCCCATATTTATAATTAAGTGGCTAAGTTGGGTTGTGTTAATCATATTGTATTAGACCTCTGATTGGAGATGGAAGTCATGCTATGCTTTCCAGTCTACACTGTGACCCTTTTTAAGCTGTTTGGCACCAGTAGTCTCCACAAACAAAATTTTCAGCACAGAGATGCAAATGCCAGGATGTTGCATAAAGCCGGCAATTTCTCTAAGCGGGAAGTCTTTAAGACAGCCTACCTTGGGTCAATGCCACAAAGGGGGTGAGACTGTCTCCAATGTTCCTAGCACTAAGTCGAACCACCCTCCCTCTTTTTCTTTTTTATACGAGGAGAACCTGTAGGCTTGTTAGTGGGGAATGTGGGTTGTTTGTTGAGAGGAGTGGAGACAGGATGAGGAGCTTTTTAGGACAGACATCCATCTCCCAAGGGGGGGTCCGCTGGATGCTGCATATATCTTGTCCAAACCCCGCTAGGTAAAATGGGGTGCAGGGATTGACATGCATAAAGCTCTGACATGTTGTTCATGTGATGCTCTGCCTCTCTGGGGGCTTTCTGAGGTTATTACTACCACGCAGAACATGCTGTTCCAGGGTCAGCCACTCAGATCTTTAGGGCAGTCTTGCTACCTCTGGAATGTCTGGTATGAAGAAAGACCCAGAGGGGACAAAGCACGGATAGATTGTAAAAAGAAACTGCTGGCTATCTCCAGAGATTCTCAAAATTTATTTAGAACCTTTAATTTTTCGAAAGCTTGCTCTGGTTCTACCACAAATTGCCCAGGATTTTATTTGGATTTCATGATTGAACAATACAAAGTAATACATAATTTGAAAGTGAAAGAAAATGATACAATGCTTTCCATATATTTGTTCAAATAAAATGATGAAAAGAGTTACTGTGAAAAGTGCTTTTAGTGTGTCATAGAGTCTCAATTTGATTTAGGTCTAGTACTGTTCGCCACAGTCTTGTGTCCAATGATGCTTCCTTTCAGGATTGTCCTGTGTTTTGCTCCACTCCCACAGCATGATTCTGTCAACACCATGTTTCAGAGTGTTAACCACAAAGTGCGGTGTTAGTTTCTCTCCACACAGTTCTTTGAATGCAGCTCCAAGAGTTCAGTTTTGGTCTCATCTGATCAGAGCGTCTTCTTTCTCATGTTCGTATAGCTTTTGTTCAGCAGAGACTTTCCTCTTGCTACTGTTCCATAAAGTTCAGATTTGTGGAATGAATAATGAATACTTCTCCTTTTGGTTTGTATCATACACTTTCGAATTACTTTACCAAGAATACCAAATCTTCCTTGGTATTCATGATGTTCAGAAAAAGGATTCAGTAAAGGACCAAACTTACACAGAGATTAGATACGTTTGGTGTCTTGGGAAAGCAATTGGTTGCACTGGATTTTATGCCAGGATATCAGAGGAAGTGAGCTCGGGGCAAACAATTTTTATTGGTGAAATTTTCAAAAATGTCTCCTTTTTCCCTTCTTATTTCAGTTATGCTGGCTTAGGTTGATGTATCTCATAAAATCTCAACAAATATAGTGATTTTTGTGGTTGTGATGTGACAAAATGTGAGAAAGTTCACAAGTATGCGCACTTCTGTACGGCACAGTAGCCCCGCCTCCTTTTTCTGTCGGAGCCCCCTCTGCTTCCTAAGAGCTTTGTCTCCCTCGAGATTCAGTCCTGCTGTGAGCCTCTGAATATGGTTGTTTGCCTTCTTGATAGTCATTTGGTTTTCTTTCACTTCCCGTGTAATCAAGGAACATTGTGTAATCTCAAGTGTCACCAAAATTATGGCTTTCATAAGTGCTACTTGAGAAGCATCTCAAGCAAAACCTTGTGTTAAAGTGTAGAAGCTGGGGGGGAAAGCCTTGTCTGTGCTCACCGTTGGTCTCCTTGTTATTCTTGGCACGTAGGAATGGAAATATAATAAATCATTTCAAAGCAATCATGTCTTTAATGAGCAATTTTCCTCACATTTTTAAAATAATAAACTATTAGCAAGATGGCATTTTAATCATGTGATCCCACTGGTGCTCAACAATAAGTCATACCATGAGACATCACATGACACATCCTCCTGCATTTTAAAAGCCTGCTATTTCTGACAAATTTCTCAACATCAGTCATGTCTGAGTGCACAGTGTGGCCTTG